AGAGAGAGAGAGAGAGAGAGAGAAGAAATACAAAGCCATCTATGAAATGCGTATACACACGCATGACCATCATCATGCCATTGTACAATACTATTCACATTCATTAGCAAATGAAACACTGACCATTGACAATACGCCATTGTGTAAAACGACCATTTTCCAATGCGGACACACGGCTCGGTGTATACAATCTAATATGTGCTTGCATAATACAGAAACGATAAAGCAGAGCAAACAACTATTTCAATACATACACGTGTATGCGGTGTGCTATGCACAAATTGTGGGACGTTTTGTGTATCTCTATCTAGTCTAGTCCAAAATGACGGGCATTCCATCGTTTGTCGATAATTGTAAATGCTGTATGTATTGATGACGATGATGTGTGTGCGTTTTGTTTTCGTTTCTGTTATTGTTGTTGCCTGGTGTTTGGTGCGACGGCATGTAATAAGTTGTTGAATTCTCATTGAATAAAAATGAATGATTTACTTCAATAATAATAAAGATGTTTTCGTCTGGTCACCTGACACCGCGCGCACCCAATTAATGGATGACGACGACGACAACAACAACAACAACAACAACAACGACAGAGAAGTATAAGTATTTTCCATAAATGGGGCGATTTAATTTGGACAAAGTGTCGGTGAATCATATTCCGAAAACAATACCAAATAATGCATTGCTTAACAAGAAAAAAAAACTGAAAATGGAATGAGAAAAAGTGAAGTTTGTTGGTTGATTGGACTTTTTTTTTGGGTGCAGTCCTCTAAATAATCTGTTTGTTCTGACAACGTATTTATTCGATTGGCATTCACTTAAGCCATAAAACTGCGCGACTGACCAAGACGACTTTTCACGGGAAAAAGAAACGAAAAAAATGACGTTCTTATTGTTCGGTCGACTAAAGATAATATCAAGGGTTTGTCATCCATCAGGCAGCATTGAATATGCTCTTAATGAATATAAGAGAAAAAAAAGTGAACAGAAGAATAAGTGGAAAGACAGAAAGATCTTTCACATTGAATAGAAGCTCATTCAATGCATACGCACCAAACTCACATATTTACGCTGAATTCCATTGTATAAACGAGTTTCGGTTGAGGTTGTGCCGCTGGCTTTTGAAATTGTTCCTCGGCTCTTTGCTCTTCTCCAGTATTCTTAGCCATACGATTCGGTGTGCGCTTTTCTCTCTCTCTCTCTCTCTCTCTCTCTCGTTCTCCAGTTAGTTTGTGTGTGTGTGATTTGTGACCGCTTTACATAGTAAACATACTATCGAAGTGACGTCAGCAAATGAAATAAAACCAAACAAACAAATAAGAATCACACTCTCACCATCTCAGCCGACACCGAATGAAGAAAATACAGAGAGAGAGAGAGAGGAACCAAAGCCGACATGAATGTGTTTGACGGTTGGTTCATAGAATAAGCTCGTTTTTTCACTTCTCTCTCGCACCGCGCATGAGATGCACATACGTGCTGAATATGAATGTATGAATCCTATTATGAATCACACAGCGAGAGACAAAGATAGAACGAAAGATCAAGAGATAAAGACAGCGAGAGAGGACCAGAACAACTCGACGATAAAATCAATTTGTGCAGGTGAATTAAATTTATATGTAGATTGTGGTAATATCATCGTCCATATAGTGATCGCTCACGACGTATAAGCGTTCGCGCTGCGATCACAAACCTCCTTACGACAAACGGGTTGTTGTTGTCTTTGGCCACGATCTTTTGCCAGTGTGTTGTGCGCGCTCGCGCACACACAAAGACCTCAACAAGCCCAAGAAAATGATGATTAAGCCGTTTGAGAGACATTTGGTTTGAACAGCGACCCAAAATGAGTACCATCATTTTGGAATATTTAATTGAAGCAAACAACCAACCGAGTAGAGAAATAAAGAAGACAGAACAAAAAAATGAAAATGAATAAACCGAAAACATCAACAGTTGCTGTCATCCAATAACACCTTTCAAGACACAAATTGAATGTGAACGCACACTCCAAACAATAGACCATTTCACACAATCAGACAACAATCTATTAAAAATGTTATGTAATACGGGCGATTCTCCTATATATATTTTTCATTCGTTCGTTCGTTCGTTAGTTCATTTGGTCGCTGGTTCGTTGTCGCGCCGATCTAAACTAATCTCTATTTTCGTTGTTTTAAAACGGTGAAAAAAAATACACAAACGCACTGTTTCACCTTTTAATCTAAATATTTAAATAAAACGCTCGAAACGGACAAACAAAGGGCACAAAAAACGACACACACACACACACACACACACAATTTTCGCACACACACACACACAATCCACTCGATCTAAATTAAAACGGGACTTTTTCTTAGTTCATGCTTGATTGAATTGGAATGAATTTTAAGAATTCAAATTTTTGTGGGAGACTTTCGTCTATTTTAGATCATGGCAAGTGTTGTTGTCGCTGTTACTTTGTTTCGCTTGATTATTATCATGTGACGACAATATTCGTGGCGCAATATGTCCATTTCTTTCTGTTTCTCTCGTTCGATCATTTCTCTCTAACATGGGAATTTATGGTGTTTTCTGACCAAATCGAATGTGATATGTGCGTTATTTAACATCGGAACCATTTCCCGTTATGCAATCGGCACGCGATGCTACTCTTCGTAACATGATACATGGTGCTTTGATTTGCGGCTTATTTTTTTCTCTCTCGTTTAATCTCTATCTCTGATTTGAAAATAAATATCAAATGAAATAGATTTTGATTTTTTGATTCGAGTGAATGGGAATCACAAACACACACATCCGACATCGCATATGATTTATTTAAATCATATAGTTTAAGTTGTTGGTTTTCTCTCTCTCACTCGCTCTCTTGCTCTCTCGTGGTGTATTCGATTCCCATTCTGGTAAACCACAATGCGTGGACTCAACCAAAAAAGTAATCCGTTTGGGATATGACGAAGAACCGCATTGTCGTTCATTGAACAAAACGTGCTTTTCATTCGCATGTGCGTGTGTTTTGTTAAAGCTTACACTGAACCCACTGGAACCTTATACAATTCAGATCATTGTTATGCATTGAGAGAAAATTTAATCGAAGATGGCGACAACCGACTATAAAACTGAGAAAGTCACTCTTGAAAGTGATCGATTTTTTTTTTGTTCGTTGTTGATGAATGATTTTATGTGTTTCATTTTTGTTTTTATTCGTATATAAATGAATCGAGGTAATCGGTTCCATTTAATCGATCCGGAATTGATTTTTTTTCTTCTTTTGCTTTACATGGTGGGAACCAATGCAAATGCGTTATGGAAAATAAGTCAAGGATCCGGCGAGAAAGAAAATAAGTCAAGGATCCGGTGAGAAAAAAAACCTACAATGCCCATGAAAAAAAAAAATTCATTACTGTCACCTTTTTCATGTCGTTGTCGTGAGACAAAAATTATTCACAACCAATAAGAAATGAAGAAAGAAAATATTTGATATTACTGCAATTTACATAATTAATTGGACGCAATGCTGAAAAAAGTGAAAAGTCACCCATTGTGAGTGTGTGTGTCAGAGAAACAAGTGGATGGAAGAGATCAGTTGGTCATCAGTGATAGTTTGCAAGCGCAAGCATTTTATGTTTCGGAGTAGTTAATCAAAATAAATTGCATCAATTTCCATTTAATTGGAGAATAATGCAGTGATGTTGGATTTTCTCTCTCTACACACACAACACAATATGCAAAAACACATTCTAGAATCGATCTGTGAACAAGTACGGTGCGCGCATATGAATGTTTATGTATGCGCGCAGGCGCACGTACAATTACACATTTGGTTGGGTCGTGTGTAGCAGTGTAATTGGCATTGGTTGCATGAAGGCACGTGCATATGACTGCGAAAATTGTTAGAAATCTTTGGGCGAAATTGGCGAAAACGAACATGTATTTATGCGTTTTGCTTTTTTGGTGTGTGTGTTTTTTTTCTATCCAATTTCCCAAAGTGAAAATCGCAAAAAATTTCCTTCGACTCTAATCTGTTTATCTGCTGCACAAAAGCATTCCATTCCGTTTGAATGTTTAGCCTTTTGTTTATGATTATCTTGAGTTTTTTTCCCTATTTCTCTTAACAGCATGTTTTTTCTTCAAACATAATTGATTGTACGTAAAATGTTTATGTGTTTTTTTTCTGTTTCTTTTCTCTCCCGTACAGTTTAGGCATGTCATAATCGCTGAGTCTCGCGAGACTACGATGGAGAAAATACAACTTATATGAAGGAAAGGAGAAAAAAAGGGTCACAATCAACTCTTTGATCGTATGAAATTTCACTGCATCAGATTCCATAATGAAAGGTAAGAGATGAAAAGCTATGACGATGAATAAAAACAAAAATAATAACAGCCATCGCAACTACATCACACAAGTAATGGAAGATAAGAAAGTACTATTTCACGTTTTACACTCACCCAAGTGTCTGTCTTCTCGGTTCGATTGGCCGTTATTGCGGCACTGCAAATGAATAAGTCGCGCAATTTTTTTTTACTTCTTTCATTTTAGCTTGAGGTGTTTCTCTCGCGGCTTCTTGTTTTCTTTTTTTTTTGCTGTCGCTGTTTTGTGCGACAAGTGAAATGAACATGTAAACGTACAGACACCTCACAAAAATTGTGCTGTTGTACGTTAAATGAAAGCCCGTTGTTCCAACGATGATCAAATTGATTTTAAAATCCAGATAGACTCGACAGTGATTTTGATCTCGACACTGAATTGAATTTTGTTTAACAAATTGAGCGAGTGAAGAAAAATTACCATCCGCACGCGGTTGCAATGTTTCTTTTCATTTGATTGCAATTTTAGTGAATCTTTTTCTTTCTAAAATTGAGGCATTTTGAAAAAAAAAAAGCGAAAGTGAAATTTTTCCATGCGACCAAGATACAGAGACCGCTCTTAGTCAAAGTTACCAAAGCTTTGTAACATGTGAATCAGCATGATGGAATATACGCTAAAATCGTTGAATCATCACACATCGTGTGAATCATCTTCTTTGGTTCTGCGTCGAAACAACACCGTATTTTCAAGTTTGAGACCTTTTGTATGCGATGCAGTCACAAAATACGCCCATTGTTATCCCGAAAAAAAAAACAATTTGGTGCGAATGGAAAAAAAACGTGTACGTTTTCAGAATCATTCGGTTGAAGTCGATAAAATGAAATCCGCCCATTGAACGTTGGACGTTTTGGAACTGCGTCGATCGGTGATATTTTTAGCTTCAACTTGATATCAAAATGAGTTGAATGCATTTTCATTGCAATTTCATTTCAATTGTGCAATTTGGCTCGTTAATAAGCAATGTTTTGTCAAGAATGTGCGTTCATGATGCGAAAATACACTTGCGCTTGATCTCTTGCCATCGTTGCTGTCGTCGTTGTCATCCAAATCGACGGCGGCGTCTGTGTCTGAATTTAGATTGTACTGTGATTGTTTTTCTTGTGTCGCAGCCATGCATAAAACCTATTTTTCTTCATATTTTTTTCTTCTCCATTTGAATGCGAGTGTGGCGCAACATGAATTTTGTGTGCACATTGCATTTCAGTTCACAACACACAGCGACAATTTGGGAAGTGAATTGTGAGAAAAAAATGTGCGTGAATGTGCTCGCGAAAAATACGTCGTTGCCAGAGCCAGCCAGACAGACACAAAACAATCAACAAAAAAATGTGCACAATCTGTGAGAGACAAACGAGAGACGGAAAATAAAAAGCAACGAAAAATTGCAACGCATTTGTTTTTCCTTTTCATGCCACCAAATCTGCGCAATTTGTATGCCAACCATTTTGAACAAGCAACAACGATCTTTTTCTGTACATATTGTGGAATCACTAAAGAAAAAAAAAACCAGATTGTTGTTAACATTTTCGGAAGCTAAAATCATTATTTTGAAGTAAAAATTCGTTTCGCATCTACTGGCATGCACCAGAAGTATATACAAATATATTGTAAAAGCAATTAAATTGCTTTTCTCCCCCATCTGATATTCATGTTGTGTGGGTAATCAGAGCCTTCTCAATTTCCGCCCACTTTTTACACCAACGACGAGATCATGTTTTGCTAATCACAAAAGAATTTTTTTTTCAATTAATATTTTTTTTATGATGGTGGTGATATGCATTTGACGTCCTGTGCCGCAGCTAATGAGAATACATTGTGTTCTAAACTGAACTTTGTGAACACACACACACACACACACATCATTTTAATACACTGTATGTGTGATATGCACTGCAGCTGCTAATGCCAACGACCAACACAAATGACAGAAGAGTATGAGTACATTGAAGAAGAAGATAGGGAAAAAAAACGATAATTATGAATGTAAACAATGGACATTATGCAATGGTGAATGCATTTCGAGTAAATTAGCAAACGACATAAGTTTTCTTTCAAGAAAATTAATGCACGGTGACTGAGAGGGACGGAGACAACCTGATATTACAATGTTACACCGCCGAGGAAACGGTTTGCGTGTATATTGCCAACATCTCAAGCAAAAACAGACATGAAAAACATATGTATGAAGAAAATGGAGATACAATTAACCGCACACACAAATAATATATTCACATGAACTTCGGAGTTCATTGATAGAGGAAACCCCATACATTTTCCGCGATGCGCCTCTCTCACATCCACATCGCTGATATAAAAAAAAAAACGAAATATATCGGTAGTTTATTGTCTATTTTATTTTTCGTTTGTTAATTCGTTCCAATGGAAATTTCTCAGTTATGATTGGATTCCGGTAAAATTATTGTACAGCAGAGCACAGTGCGCGCGCTCTCACTTTGCGGGAAATCAATTTAATGATGGTTTAATTCCTCGATCCCCCATTGAAATGATACAATCCAAGCAAAATTACAAACATCTTAATGCAAACTAAAAGCCACTTCACTACAACTGATACTTGTGAAAAACATTTTTATTCACTCTCTATTCAGAAATGAATTCAAGTTGAAAAAATACGAGTTAAAGTTAAAAGAACCGTACGATTTGAGAGAGATTCAAATGCATCTTCTCATAATGTACAATGAATTGCTCGAGATTTGCACATTAAACTGCTTTAATTGTTCTTATTTTCAATTCAACCTTTTGTTAGTTATACAGAGTTCATTTTGATTCATTGGCAATTCCCAATTCAAGTGGCATCACTTCAGAAAAAACCATTTTTCGATACGCAATTTGATTCATCTTCAAGGAGAGAAAAAAAAAACTCTGAGTGTAAAGCTGGTTTTCATCACACGATGGAGAAGAAAAAAATGCTCGACAGCAAACAGTTGGTTCTTTTGCAATCAATTTTTCTTTTGGTTTTTGCTCATTTCCAACTAGAAAAAAACACTTAACCATATAAACAGACATGAATTTGTTTAGATATATATAGATCAGATGCGAGAACAGAGAGAGAAGTGGTCAAGAACAAAAGAGAAAATTCATTGTTTGTTATTACGTTGAAGTGAGATAGCAATTCAATTCAGATCAAAAGTGAAACGCATGTCTATTTTTGTTGTTGTTGTTATTGTTGTTGCTGTGGTTTCGGGGCAACATTAAGAGAGATAAAAATATGTTTCAGGTCAAACGAACACAAAAACACCATTCAATATCTCTCTGACTCTGTGTATGTCTCTCGCTCAATATCTCTCTCTCTCTCTCTCTCTCTCTCTCGAAGAACCGTAAGAGATACGGTTCATTCGAACTGAATGAATTCGGTGTGCTGTGTACGTCTCTGTGTGCATAAAACGATTCATCTTTTTTTTTTATTGTTTTGCTCAAGTATTTTCCCATGCTTACGAACGCGAAGCGTTTTGTGCATCTCCTGCACTTAAGATTCGGGCCTCGTAAAAATCACATGGACATTGAAATAACGAAGCGATAACGAAACGGGTTCGAAAATCAAATTGACAGCCAATAATAATAATAATAGAAGAGATAAAAATCGTGTATTTACTGTATTTTTTATTCTTTCTCCAACAATAACTCGAAACACTTGTGATGCCGTTAGATGTGGACTTACAATACTGTATTATTGCACTTTTTATTCGTCATAAACATAATTCTTTTTTTTTTCAATTGATAAATTTTTGTTTCTGCCATTTCTAGATCCATCATCAAAAAACTTTTACCATGCACCACCCGATCGTCTGACGATGCCGTCGATGAACTTTCTGCAACAGCAGCCCGACGAAGACGATGGCCTCGGCCCATTGCCACCGAAATGGGAAAAAGCATACACTGAAAATGGCGAAACGTACTTTATCGAGTAAGACCATCTCATTTCAAGTCCAAAAACGGTCAACGATAAACAAAAACTTGATGACAATTTTATAATTCTGGTTTTTTATTTCTCGTTTATTTTATTTTCTACAGTCACAACAGCGGCACCAGTCATTGGCTCGATCCGCGTCTATCGAAATTTCAAAAGAAATCACTTGAAGATTGTATGGACGATGAATTACCGTATGGTTGGGAAAAAATTCATGATCCACAGTATGGCACCTATTTCATAGATCACGTTAATCGACGAACACAATACGAAAATCCCGTACTCGAAGCGAAGCGTCGTAATTCGGAACGCAAAACAAATGGATCCAATCAACCGCCGTCGGTGAAGGTAAAAATGAATAACATTATTTCAGACTATTGATTGAAATTCGTAATTTTTGTCTTGTATTTCCAGTCGCTAAACGATGAAATGGTGCGACCGAACGATTCCCAGTCACAACAACATATCCAATCGGAGCAACAATCGCAATTGAAACCAAATCTTTTTACCAAAAATCCGTCGGAATTACGAGGTGAACGAATAAATACGACACTGTTGAAATCATCGCGTGGTCTCGGTTTTACGATCGTCGGCGGCGATGATAATGTCGAAGAATTTCTACAAATCAAATCGATTGTGGCCAATGGTCCGGCATGGTTGGACGGCAAATTACAAACCGGTGACATTTTAGTATACGTAAATGATACGTGCGTATTGGGTTTTACGCACCACGAAATGGTCAATGTGTTTCAGTCGATTTTACCGGGTGAAACGGTCACATTAGAGGCGTGTCGAGGCTATCCGTTGCCATTTGATCCGAACGATCCGAACAATGAAGTGGTCACCACGATTGCGGTTGATGGTTTGAGTTCGGATCCGGAGAAATCACGCATTCTAATGGATTTAAATATGGATGGAAATTATAATTTTCTCGATATGTCTGATACTCAATCAGCAAGCACATCGGCCAAACACAATTTAACGCTGAGACGACTGGAGTCGAGTTCGGTGCGTAGCGATATTAGTGAAAATTTTGCAAACGAATCAAAACGTGATTTAATTTCATCGGAAAAACCGGAAATTCTGAACATTTCAATAGTGAAGGGTCCGCTAGGATTTGGTTTTACTATTGCTGATTCTGCGTACGGGCAAAAGGTGAAGAAAATTCTCGATCGTAATTGCTGCAAAGATTTGAACGAAGGCGATTATTTGCTGGCAATCAACAATACAAACGTTATGTATTTGTCACACAGTGCCGTGGTTCAGGTGTTGAAAAATTGCCCGAAAAGTGAGTATCGATATTGTTCTTTTTTGTATTTACGAGTCATGTTCAAATTCCTTATATGTATATTAATCGTCGATATTACTCTTTTCGACCAGGTGAAGAGGCAATTTTGAAAATCCAACGCGGTAGCTACTTCAACGGTGGAAGTATAAACGATAAGCCAACGAGCCGAGTGAGACGTGTCATTGATTCAATTGATCGAGCAGCCATGATGAATGGCAATGCATCCAAAGAAGTGCTGAATTTGTATCGCAGCAAAACGCCCACCGCCGATCTGTATAGCACGCAAACAAAAGAAATCTTGCCAATTCGATCGAAAACACCGCTCGTTGATACACGAAGTCGAGCCAAAACACCGATGAGCGAACTCAATGGCGGCGAAGAGGAACTCGATGGTGCACTGCGATCACATAACGATGGACAAATGCATGATTTGAAACACATTGTAGCGGCCGATACAAAATCAAACCATAGTTTTCCCGATCAGGATTCAATCAATAACGAAGCACCGTTCGATCCATTCCCAAAGCTAGTGCTCAGTCTGTCCGATCGTTTGGCCGAAGCATCGCTGGGCGCTTCGAGCCACTATCAAACAAAGGATCTTTCAAATATTCGCCATAATCAGCATTTCGATAGTCAACCAAATCTCAATAACTTTGAACAGAATAGCGTGTCAAGCGGACACGATTATTACGTGAATTACAATTCAAATTTGGCCAGCGGCTACACAAATTCACCGAGCAACAGCATCTATGCGGCCAGTGCAAACACAATGCCGCCTCACATGAAAATGCCACTGATGGCACCAGTGCCCACATATCATCACGAGCATTGCTACTGTTTCGAATGCCAGCGACAGTATCGATATCAAAATATTCTCATCGATCGTCGCAAAGTCGGTTTTAGCCCACTCGATACACACGCTCCGATGGCGTCACCACATCCACACCACATGAACCAACCGCAATCGCCACAGCATTTACATCAAATGCATCATGAAAACAATTATTGGACGAAAAATGAACTCAAAATGCAACAGGTAATTTAAGGGATGTGGAATTCATAATCCTGGTTCTTTTTCTCTTATTCTTCTTCTTCTTCGCCATTCGATGAAGAAAAATTTGAATTTTCATTTTATTTTCGATTCAAATTTTCAAACCCAATCTGATCTTGAATTATTCTCTAATGATTGCAGCCGGAAAATTTTGGCTATATGCTATCAGAGGTGACGCTTGAGCGGCAAGCTATGGGCTTTGGCTTTCGCATCGTTGGCGGCACTGAAGAGGGATCACAAGTGACTGTTGGCCACATTGTAGAGGGTGGTGCAGCCTACAATAATCCGCGAATCGAAACGGGAGACGAGATTTTGAGCATTGATGGTCACAATGTTGTAAGTATCATGACAATAAAATGTAGATTTCATTATCGAAATTCAGATAGAATTGGGAAGAAGAGAGATTTTAACGAATCGTAAAATTTCAGGTGCAATCCTCACATCATCGTGTGGTCGAATTGATGGGCGAAGCGGCGCAACGTAACCGAGTGACGATGATTTTGCGACGACGTGTTCCGGATCCAAATGTGGCGAATTTGCAACATTTACAGCATCATCCACACCATCAGCACGTGCAACATCCGCATTTACCGCGAGAATTTGTCTATCCGTACGATGTAATCGTTAGCCGAAATGAAAACGAGAGTTTTGGCTTTGTCATCATTTCCGCTTCAAATCAATACTATGGATCGACCATAGGTAAGGCACAAATATAACTCTTTGGTTTATACAAAAATAGATGGAATTGATTTTTGATTTAATATCCAAATTTGCCTAAATGAAGCAAATTCGAATGCAAATCATTCAAATCAAATAGAGTCTAGAAAATAAATGAAGCAAATTTATATGAAAATTAAAACAAACTATGCTTTTGCTTGTCTCCGTAGGAAAATTGATACCCGGCAGCCCAGCTGATCGTTGCGATGAGCTAAAGGTTGGTGATCGCATAATAGCCGTGAATAACATTAACATAGCCGGAATGAGTCATGGTGATGTAGTGAATTTAATTAAAGAGTCTGGCCTACATGTTCGTCTCACCATTGGAAATCCAAAAGAAGTGATGCAATCGAATTCGGTTCATCCGCCAGCAATCAACACCAACAACAATCTAAACGATCCATACTTTGAACATCGCAGCAATGGTCTCGTTTCCATCACAAACGACAACTTAAACGTAGACGTTTATCAATCGAACAATCATTAGATTAGACCCATATCTCGATTTATTCTTCCGATTCCAGAATTTCCATTTTATGAAGTTTTTTTTTTCCTTCAAACAAACAGAATTTACAGGCAAATATTTGGTTCAAACGAGCAAATGCAAAAAATTTATACAAAAAGACTGAGCAAAAACTACAAAAGCAATCAAAAGATACTCCGAAACAAAAATATTCTAAACTCCAATGAAAAAAAAAAAAAAAAAAAAATCAAACGAGATGCCTTTGAAAATTTCAGAATCTCAATTTAAAAAAAAAACACAATTTAAACATAAATCGTTCTCTTCAATTCAAAGTGGCCTATGAATCGATTCAAAATGACTTGTTTTATTCTTGTCAATCTCATTTTGAACGCGATTCAAATGTATTTGACCAAAACTTTGCCTTATACTTCGATTTCGTACATAACGGAAAACAGAGAGAATAATATCAGCTCGCGAGCATTTCACATAGTAGAAATAAAAATTGTGTTTTTAATTGTTTTTACTATTAATCTAGATATTCGTGACCATTTCATCATATATTGAATGGCGACAATTTGTTTTATATATATTGTTTTATTTTACTTGACAAGCAAACATTAGACATCCAATTGTGTAGTTGATAGTATTTTATTGATATATATATTTTAAATGTATTTACAGCCACTAACGCTCGTGGCAGGCTTCAATCTTCGATTGAAGTAAAAGTGACACATTTTTCTTTCTTTGGACAAAATTGTTTTAACATGTACTTAAAATAAAAGCGAAATACAGAAACAGAAAGAGAGCAGCTTCTAGTTTGATTCGATAGAGTGAATAAGAAAGTGGTAAAGCTTTATTTTAAGTACCACAGGGAAATGTTTTTAATATTTTAAATAACATGACAAATTTAGACGTATATTTATTATACGTTTAAACGTTGAGAAAGTCATGGACTATGGCATTATAGAAAATAGCGCATTTTTTCAAATATCAAAACCATATCGGTGTTTTTTTTTGTGGTGGCCTCACGATGAAGCCACAATAAGTCGTATAGCAAACAAAAAAAAACCATGCAATAATGAATTCTTTCTGTACAATATTCTGATTAAAAGCACGCATTCGGCATCGTCGTTGTGCGTTGCAAGCAGATTTCATTCAAAATTCCGACATTGTTCATTTAACTCGTTATTTTTTCATAAAAAATATACGCATTCTTCCTCTCTCCCTCTATCTCTTTTTCTTATTTGAAAATTATATAAATATTTCTGTGGAAATAGAATTTATGCTGCAATAAAATAAAGAAGAAAAAAAAATCAAAAGAATCAATTTAGAACAATGCTTAAATAGAGTTATAATAATCGGCATGAAAACCAAACTTGTTTCAACATCAATGTAAATTAAATTAGAATAAAAATTTATATATAACGGAAAATGACCATTTTTCGGGCTGTTTAATTTCATTCAAAGAATTCTGTGTGTGTGTTTTTTCTCTATTCTCTATAGGCGCTACTCTCAAACCAACGCATTTATGCAAAACAAAACGAAAAACAACAACAACAGCGGTAAAAAAAAAAGATCACGCAAATTATGAACGACAATTCGTTGGACGAAGCAAACAAACGTGTAACGAACGGAATGAAGAAAGAAATGAATGAAAAACGAAGAAGAAAAAGATAGGAAAAAAAAGCAACGACACACAACAAAAATACCGATGGCATTCAAAGTTCAATGCATATGTAAAACGTAACGTAAACGTGTGGCGGATTGTGGCATAAATGCGAATGACACAATACTATTACGACCGTAGCATTGACAAGCACAAGAACATTCAACACCGGAGTGTTTGCCATTGTCAAAGTGTTCCTCAACAACCATGGCTTAAGTATTCCGAGCTGGGAATACTTAACCATTGACGGAAATTGAATTGATAATCGTTATTCATGCGCAAAAAATGTCCAATTCACTGCAATTTTTTAGGGGGAAAATTGATCGATTCGGACGAAGAAAATGAAAAAATCGTAAATGAATTCAACAAGATGATGAGAATGAAAGAAAATTATATGAAAATCCCATTGATATAGCGTCAAAAATGCAACGTTCAAAAACGTCAACTGGTCCCAGCTCAAATTTACTTATCTGTCATACTCAACGATGGCACACGGGCATATGTTTGAGAGCGTGTACTTTTCTTGTATGTGTTCTTTCGTTACGTGCTTCTTCTTCTTCTTGTCATGTGTTTTTTCTCCGTTCAAATCGAGTATACCAAAGCATACAGCAAATTGGTTCTGCCATAACAGATCGGGCGAGTGTCAACTAAACAACAAACCACTCATACACACTCAGAATACTATATGCACAAAACAAGAGCAGCAGCGAGCAGCAGGCGAACAAAACGAACGAAACATTCTGCATAGACTACACATATAATATTTTCATAACGCGCTGTTTCCTCGCAACAACGTCTTTTTTGTGTGTTGTGTATAAAATTTGTTGTTTTATTTTGTTCTCTCTATTTAATCGTTAGTTTGTTTTCCAATTTGTGTATCTATTTTGTGACGAGTTTTCGTGCTTTAACCACTTAGTTCTACCCAAGTGTTTCTCTGGTTGTGTGTGGTTATTTTTTTGATTCATTCATTTCGTTCGGTGGCTCAAATTTAATTTTTGTTTGTTGATTTGATTACTGTGTGTGAGTGTGGTTTCGGGCCGTTCAACCAGATAAGTTTTCCCATTAAATAGAATTCCCAAATCAGAAACAAAAAGAACAAAATTCTCTCTCGTTTGTTCGTTTTGAAAAAGAACGAATTGAGAATAACAAATGGAAAAATAAAGAACAAGAAGCAGAAATTACGAGAAAGAGATAGAGAGAGAGAGAGAGAGAGAGAGAGAGAGAAAACAAATAGCGAATAATGTTCCTGTAAGAGAAAAAAAAATGCGGGTCTTATTATGTGTTGTACTTGTGTAAATCCAAACGAAAAGGTAGGGAATTTCCACTGGTGGAAAGAACAGTTGCTCAAAACGTTGTCGACAACCAAATCAAAACCAACTCCGATCGCCTCACAAACTCAACCAATTTAACGGAAATAATAAAAAAAATTTGTCGACGATATTCTGTGAATAAAATTTCAATTGGTAAATGAGAAACAAATAGAAACAAACAGCCCGAAGAAAATCAAACGTCGTCGCAACAAATGCCGATACACCAGTTCAAACATACATGAACCGAACCATTTTCAATAATAGATCAAGGATTATTGTTTCTTGTGCGCCGCGTTTTCATCTCCTTGCAACAAACAATTCGTTTTCTTTTTTCTTTCGATTCATTTTCCAATTGTCATAAAAAGAAGAATATTCGTAAATGTTTCATGGTTTCAGGAATTGAATAACAATAATTTAGTGCTTTAATGAAAACCAACAAAACAAATCAAAAAGAAACATCATAATCAAAATAACAAAACCAAAAATTCATAGATAGAGTTAATTGTAGAGCTTATAAAAGAATCCACACTACAACTCTGTTAAAACAAAGAAAGCCTCTTCTTCGGTCTCGATTTCGTTATTTGAGTGGCAACAATGAATGGGTGCTGTCACGTGGGAATAATCAAAACTATGCTTATTCAATAACAATTTGCACGAGATTTCCACGACGACGACAACGATAGAAGCGTAAATCCGATTTTATTTGCTCAATAAAAGAAGGAAAAGGGGAGAACGAAAAGGATCAACATTTTCGAGAAAAAAAAGAAACAATCATTTTCTGCAACGAATCTAGGAAGCTGCACAAACGACACCGCAATGGCCACAACAAATAATAGACATCAAAAGTTGGAGCAGCAGGTATGTCCATCTATGTGTGTGTACCCCTTTATGTTTTAATTTCATATCGCCCAAAAACAATCCGTACACCGAATTGTCATGGAAAAATCAATTTCCAAGCAAAGACTCAAAACTCGGGTTTTTTTTCGTTCTATGGCACGCCAAACCATATTCAGAAAAAATATAATCAAAGTTTTTGGAGGTTTTGGCATTACCGCAAGTTTTTCGCAATTACATGAGAAATGTTCAGCTTGGTTTCGATACAATTCGCTTTGGTTTGGCTGTTGAACATCTCCCTTTACTCTCTCTCTCTTTCTCTCTCTCTCTCTCTCCTTTAGAATAGAATGAATGGAATTGCCTTTAAGCAATCCAATTCAATGATGGTTTTTGTCATGGCCAATGAATGGATCAACGCAGCATTTTCTAACTAGATTATGGTCGGGTATTTTCCGATGTTTGGGTTCAAAATTGCGTACACAGTTCAACCTCTTCTATTTATATAAAAAACGATGTCAAATAATCGTGGAATAAAAGTAACGGTGTGGTTCAAACCGTTTTCAAATCTATGCCCATGAAAAAAGTGAACAATATATTCGGTTTTTGCTCTCTTCTTCTGGTTCGCCGGTAACATTACAAGAAAAAAAAATATGACCAAATCATTTTTATCGATAAACACAAAAACACAATATTTTTCACGCATAAAAAGAAAAACCCGCGTATGAATGAATAAGAAGAAGAAGGAGGAAAAATAGAAGAGGAGGCATGAAGCGAATCGATTTGATGGTGTTGATGGAATTGATTTTCCATATAAAAAACTGTTGTGCCGTTGTTGTCTATCTCAATATTGATATTATTGTCAGTGGCTGTACAAAGAATGTACTTGATCCACTTATCAAACTCTGTAAAATACGTGAACAACGTTCACCGAAATAATAATGAAGAAAAAAGAACCAGTCGAAGCAATAACAGTGGCGATGACGGTGACAGCGACGACGACGACGACATCGACAACGCTGTCGACGGTTCGCTCTTTTTTTTATTATCGCATTTTCCGCCTCGATGGACGATTCACTCGATGCGTGTGTGTGTGTTAAGCATACTTCACCTCATACCTGTGCGGGGTACATGGATTGGATACGTTTAATTTACATTACGCTCGGCTTATATTTTATCAATCGATTGCATTCACTTTAGAATAGACGGTAGCTAGATTGGACCGGGCGTATTAACATACCTATTATTAGCATGCAAATTTAATTATTACTATAAAGAAAAATTAACAATCGGATGTGGGATGTGTAATGTACACATTTGATAGAGCTGCTCTCTCTCTCTCTGTGTGTGTGTCTCTATGCACATCTCTAGCCTTGGACAGACAGCACATATCACATATACACACAAAGGCACATGCACACTAAGTGTGCTTCGTTGTTCTAGACAAAATGACTGAAATGCATGATGGACATTGAATGAATATCAATATTTGCTTAGCATACGATAATGACTGCAACATTTGATTGGCGCGAATTAGACAACTCCTAGGGGCTGCTTTGAAGCTGATAAAAAAATTATAAAATGCGACACGACATGCACGCCATCATCGCCGACCATACCATTAACAACTGTACACATTTTTTGTGTCGATGGATCATAATGAATACGTATGTATTCAACTGTGCGAATAATTCAACGATTATAATTGATTGGTGATGGCATTTCCTTTTGAAGACGGCTAACACCCTATGCACTTACAGCGTGAGGCTTTCAGCCAATTTTTTTCTCTTTTCATTCTTTTGACTTGGTTTCGAAATGGAACAAAGTTCGAGGATGGTCATACGGAAAAATTGGTCACAAAATGAAACGATAAATTTAGTTCACCATCAACACAAAGCGGTGACCAGCGACAATTCGAACATTTCAATCGAACCGAAAAAGAGAGCGAGTGAGACCATTTCATTTTTGGTGGTTGAAATCGAAAATTTATTAGCCGTACACTATGACTCGCCCACCACCACATAGAAACGAAAGCATAAGTCGAAATATTTATTGAATATTTGATATTTGATTCGAAACGACCCCAAATGTGCTTGCTCTCTCCGTGCTCGTTGACTCACCCGCATACGATGAATATATTGACAAAATGGGAACTAAAAAAAAGCAATTAGAAATAATTTTTATGCCATGTCGCGTGTATCCATCGCCACCGTGATGAATGTCACAAGCCATTCAAAGCGTTTTCTATGTTCAAATTCTAGTTTTTTTGTTTCTCTCTTTCCCTTTCTCTCTCTTTCTCGCACTTCGTTCTACTGTTATTTCAACGATATATTATAGATTCGATTTGATAGTAGATGTCAATTTGGAATGTGAAATAGGCGCGTGTTGGCCGTCATTCCACGTATTTATCGCATTGTCGACAATGTCTAACTGTTCATGAGTGCTTCAAATACATTCGAATGATGAATGTTGTTAGCACAGCGCTGCGAACGTCTAAATCGCCAATACCACATGGATGATAGGAAAAAAAGGCACAGAACCGTTCTATTTTATCCGATGAGTATTATGAAATTTTCAATTTCACATTTATGATGATTTGATTTATAACAGTTCCAAGATAGACATTCATTTTTTTTGTGTGTAAACAAATTGTTTCTCTGAATTGGAAATCAGAAGAAGAAGCACCAGAACCATCCATTCAGCCATCGAATAGAATACATGGAAAAAATATAGAAGAAAAAAAGAAGTACGCTAGAACAACGCGGCAGTTTCCGTAGTTATCGGCATTCGATTACACATACCGCCACACATAATGTCATGTATCGTTTATTTATGATGCGATGACATACATTTTCTATTTGGGCAGATCGCGACAATGATCAAAGAATAAAAACGACGAAAGCGGCGGCGAAGACTATGGAAGCGGCATTCAAAACATGCCGTTTTCAATTTCAATAAAATATTCTGTTTCATAGCCTAAATTTGCCCCATTTTTTCCCTTGAAAAACTTTCTTCTTACACAGAGAATATCGTGTGTAACCACTGAATTTTCAACATTTCATTAATGTCAAACAAATTCTGTGAGCGTCGTTTTCTTTTCTTTTTTCGGTATATGCTTTGCCACACTGTCATCCAATTTCACAAAGCAAATGAGTAGTTGAGCTGAAAAAAAAGAGACGAAATACACAGGAACCAGAAATAAAAATTGATATACACAAAAAGCGTGAAAAATAAAACAGAAAAAAACCCTAATGAACAACTCAAATTACATGGGCATTAAATCAATGAATGCTGCTGTTGCACCGCTAGCAACAGTACCGTGTTGTTACCGAACGAAAATTACAACCGAGTGATAGAGAAAGTAAGCCATGCTGGATGAGGATGATGAAAACGGAAAAGACGTGCTTTCTTTCGTTTCGGAAACGGTGTGTACGGCACAAAAAAAGTGTGAAAAATGGAATAACCATTCTTTTCACTGGCCATCTTTTATCAAGATCAATAAACATAAAGCATCGTCTTGGTGCGAACGACAACAGCAAAGGAACCTTGGCTATTATTGCTTACTAGGTTGTGTGTGAGTGTGTATGTATGTGAGAGAAAAGATCAATCATCAGAGTTTTTTTTTTCTCAAGATCTCTGTTTTCTTCCCCAATACTCCCAAATGGTTCGTCGAATGCGAATCGTTTCGCCGAACGAATGCACTCACATGCTGAAATTTCAAAACGAAACTGGGAACAAAATGCAAACACAGCGAACAACTTTTCAACATGAGCAACGGGAAAATCGTTCGAATAAATGCGATGCAATTAATGCCAAGCCAGCCAGCTGAGAGCAATGTATTTTCAACACGGAATATTTATGCGCCCAGATAATCACTGTCGAGGGCATACACACTACACAACTAAATGCAATGGAAAATAATAATCGCTTTCGCGTCGCATCGTATCGTTATTTCTTGTAGTTTTTGTTGTTATTTTTTTCCTTTCGCGTAAAAATTTTTAAGTGCACAACATTTTGCGAGACAAAAATTGTTTTGAAGGAAATTCATTTGTACCAGATTAAATCGAAAAGGGAGTGCGAATGAACGAGCGAGAGAGTGGAAGGGAGAGATAAAAAGAAACAGAAAAACAGAGAGGCAAAGGGAGAGATAGAAAAAGGAGGCAAGAGGGAGGAACGAAAGAGAATTTTCTTCGAAACATTACAATTTTCATGTATTAAATGTCAGACGATAACATTTGCTGGCACCATTATTCGTTTCCGTCGTCATCATCGTCGTCGTCGTCGTCGTCGTTTTTCCCATTCTTTGCACTTAAGCCATCCAAGTGATTTGAACATCGTGTTTCGAGATTTTGTGTGATTTTCTTTCTTGTTGCTGTGGCTGTGGCTGATGATGCTGTTGCTTTTGTACATATTGATGCAACAGCGCGGCAATGATGCTCTCAATCTGTTTCCGTTTGTGCCATCCACACATCTTTCTCGCCCGAGTACGCGCGCGTGTGTGTGTGTAGGTTTTTGTGTTCTTTTTTCTTTTCTCCCCCCATGAAAATGTTCCATGGAATATTTATAGTTTTGCTCGCGACGATTTAACTTTTCATTCGACACATCTTGTTTAATTCCTGTCGTCTTAACCGTTGTTATTCTGTATCCGAATGAGAGAGAGAGAGAGAGAGATTGAGAAAAAGCAAAAAGAAGTGAGATAGAGACATCACGAAGAATTGCATTTTTTTTTGGTTCGAAGGCAAAGCAATCCAAATAAGAAGAGAGAGACTGAGAGTGGAAAAAAAATCCGATGAGAATTGCTCGCATATGCCTGCATTTGTTTATTGAAGACGGAAAATCTCTGTTAAATAAACACATAGTCAGTCGCACAACGAAGCACATGCTTATTTTCGGGGCGCGCGTTCCAATCCACACACATCATGCTGTTTATATGTTACAGAAAACGATTCAAGAAATCCTCACCGCCACAATCCTGTCAGCATCTGCAAATGCTCGCTCGAATGGCACATTGCACACGTACGCACACGGATTCAAAATAACGACGTTTGGGAAAAGATACAATTTTTGTAGATTTCTGAATTGAAAAGGAAACCAAATCTGTCTCTTTCATTCACATGGTGTTTGGTTATTTGATGTTACGGGTGTACGCTCACGCTCCATTTTATCTGCATGTGTTGGCTTTTGTTTCCGTTTTACCAATGTTTCTTTAAAACGCAACACAAAAGCCTTTTGAATTACTCGATGCACAATGCCATGCATATATGCTTATGAATCTTCTTCAATTTTGTGTGTGATTCGTTGTTGTTCCTTCTTTGATTACGTTCCAATTGTCTTGGAGTGCTATTAGATGGTTGTGCGTTCATCGTGTGTTGTGTTAGCAGTTATACGCTCATGTCTCTCTCTCTCTCTCTCTCTCTCTCTCTCTCTCTCTCTCTCTCTCT